GGGTGGGTTCAGCTCCGTGTTTGATGGGTGTCTAAGGGCCAAAGTTTCATGGGCTCCATCAGTTTCTATCAGTTCAGTTGGCAACTTGGTTTTAGACTTCTATCCTCCACACTTATGAGAGGTTACGTTGCTGTTGTTTCAAGTGACCAGGTTTGTGGTAGTTTGTTACGGAAGCCCAAGGAAATAATATAATATACAGTAGATTTGTGTGTGTGTGTGTTGTGAGTGTGTATCTTTCAAAGCAGCTTTTTTTTTTTTTTTTTCTTATTTTGAGTGCTTTTGGCACTTGCTAGATCTGCTCATTAGGACATCTGGCATTGAGGTTTGTGAAAGGGTCAAGGAGATCAGTTGAACATATATTGGAGACTTGGCTTGGTTGCCTACTTTCTGGCATGTCATTTCCCTACTGGCCATTTTACTTGTTCACAATGTGACAGAGATGGAGAGAAGGAGCGCTTGTGTCTTCCTGAGCCTCCAGCTTCCCTGTCTCCAGAGAGGCACTGTGGAGGTTGAGCTGATTCCAACCATGGCAACTCCACGCATGTCAGAGTAGAACTGTGCTCTGTAGAGTTTTCAATGCCTGATGTCTCAGAAGGAAATCACCAGGACTCTCTTCTGAGGCACTTCCAGGTGGACTCAAACCACCAACCTTTCCATTAACAGAAGAGAACGTAACTGTTTGTACTACTCAAGACTCCATTATCACTGAGAAAGGGCCAATACAAAAACTGTGGGGTTCTGAAAGGAAGGGAAGCATTTCTGGGACTCTCCTAGATCCTACTGAAATCACGTGGTGTTGGCAGATGCATCCGTACTTCTCCCTACCCTAAAGCAGTCCCGTTGCCCAGGTAGCCTTTTCTCATTTCTTCTCATTCTCAAATAATGGCCTCCCATCCCTTCAGGATTGCCTTTAAATCCAATACGTGATTTCAGTAGGACCTAGGAGAGTTCTTTTCTGGAAGAAGGTCTAGTAATCTATTTCTGAACATCAGCCACTGGCAACCCTAGGAATCACAGTGACCCAACCCTAGGATGGCACAGGACTGGGCAGAGTTTTGTTCCCTTGTGTGTGGGGTCCCTGTGAGTCAGAGGAGCAACATGACTACAATTAACAACAACAACAGTTATGTTCTGTTGCTTTTCCTTGGAGGAGGTCTGGTTTTAGACCCTACTCCTCAGCGCCTGTCTAAAGTAAAGACTCAGCATTTCCTGCTGGGAAGATTCAGGGACTCCTGAGAGGCAAAACTCACCTGATTGGGCCCAGTATGCGTGCACTCTGCATTCTTGTCACAGCCACCGTGGTTCTTCAAACACGGATTAATTTCTTTAAAACAAAAGCCGACATTTGGTGTTTGAATTAAGCCTCACTCTCCAAAGAAGGCATTTTGAGGCAGGCCAGGATGATTAGCTGACTGAGGGGAGCAGAAGCAACCTGAGATGGGCAGGATGCCAGAGAGTTTCTCAAAACAAACTCCTTTGGGACAGGCTAATCCCAGCAAATGCACAAGCTGTGGACTTGAATCTGCTCTTCTCCGAGTGAATATGACAGTTGGCAGCAAAGGCATTTTGTCCTGAGAGTTAATATAATCTTAAAACCCAACCCAACAGTGTTATGAATGACTTGAGTTAAAAAACAAACAAACATTTGCAACCATCACAATCAAGACGGGTTTAGGGAAGAATCATTTATAAATGCTGAATTTAGGAGGACTTTTGAATGAAAAGCAGGAAGGATATTTGCTTGGTCTTAAAGTGTGTCCCCACTGATTGCTTATTAGTATCAAGGGGAACAAAAGGCAAGCAGGCAGTGGATAAATTGGATGACACCTTGACTGAGGGGTCACAATGGGCAACCCAGGCAAGGGACAGATGGAAACTGCGTGTCTCTGTGTGCTGCCCTAACATGAATACAGCATCATGTATGGAATGTGTAATCAAATGCTGATCCCAAAGACACAGCAGAGAAATCAAAATAGAAGGACATGCTATTAAAAACAAAAAGGAAAAAGAAAAGCTAGG